AAAAAAAAAAAAAAAAAAAAAAAAAAAGGCGTAAGCAAGGATTTTCTGAACAGAACCTGATTGAACAGGAAGTAACATGAAAAATCAACAATAGGATCATATCAAATTAAAAAGCTTCTAGACAGCTAAACAACTGACAGAATGAAGAGACAAAGTACAGAATGGCGAGAAATTTTGTCAGATATTCCTCAGAGGACTTATATCTGGAATATAAAAAAAACTTTAAAAAATCATACCCCAAAATAAAAGATCCAATCAAAAATGGGCAACTAAAATGGATAGATAATTCTCAGAAGTACAAATGGCCAATAAATCCATAAAAAAAATATTCAACATCACTGGCCATCAGAGAAATGAAAATTAGAACAACGAGATTGCATCTCACTCCAAAAAGAATGGCTATAATCAAGAAATCAAACAATCACAAATGCTGGTGAGGTTGCAGGGAAAAAGGAACCCTTCTACATTGTTGGGGGAATGTGAACTAGTACAATCACTATTAAAATCAGTATGGAGAATCCTCAAAAAACTAAAAGTAGAAATTCCATTTGACCCAGCTATTACCCTTCCAGGTATCTTCTTGAATTAAAGACATCCTATTACAGGGATACATGCATACCCATGTTTATAGCAGCACAATCTGGAATAGCCACATCTTAGAAGTGGCCCGTATATCCACCAACAGATGAACGGATCAAGAAAGAGTGGCATTTATACACACTGGAGTACACCAGGCCACAAAAAAGGATAAACGTGAAGCACTTATAGCTAAATGGATACACCTTGAGAGCATAATGTGAAGAAAAATAAATCAGACACACAAGCTTAAATACCGCGTGGTTTGTCTTATGTGAGAAACGAAAATATAAATAAATCAAAGAGCAAAATAAAAGATACATGACAGGAAACAGGAAAATAGATCTTTTCTAAAAGGCAGGGAGACCAAGGGATGGAAGGAGGGAAGGGCGAAGGCAGGGGAAAGGGATGAGAAAAGAATCAAGATGTGTTATGTATATGTACCAATTCTCTACCATGAATGTGGCCATTATGTGCCGCAAACATTACTAACAAAAATTAAAATTAAAAAACTGTCTTGTAATCATGTTTAACTCACTATTATTGAAATTATGAATCATACATATCTGAGTCATACTTATCACTAATATTCCTCCATGGAACACTGCTGTGAGGAAGGTTTTAGGAAAAGAAGACCAATTCTAGGAGTAGAGCTGAGATGCAGACATTTACCCACTTATCTTTAAAAATGTATATACTGAGAATATCCTCCATGGCAGCCAGGCTGCAATGTCTGGGACATGACACACAAAGGTTAATCTCTTGACATATACTGAAGGACAAGAAGGCTTTTCTCCTCTTTGGGAGTACCTCGTTCTGCAGTCCTAAAACGGGAATTCTACTCCAGAACTCAAGATTAGAAAACAGTTTTGCTAATTTCTAGTTTCAAAAAAGGCAGGAATTTATGCAACACACCCATTCTCTTCAGTGGTTCACCTATTCTCAATCCAACCAGTCTAGGTGACTATACTTCATTGTGGCCGCACTAAACAACAATTTCTTGTTAATGGAGAATTCAAATATTGGTTGGGATTCTGTAATGAGAAAATCGCTAGCAAAAGTCCAGCAAAGCCAGGCTCTTTCTAGGCTTTGTGGCTTTCCTGACTTACAGTTCTCTTCTATCTGCCTCTTTTCCTAGCCCATTCCATCTCTTCCCTTAACACACAGCTGTCATGTCCCTGCCCAGTCCAGGTTCTTCCCGTTACACACCCTCCCCAACACTCTTCAGAACATCACATTTCTTTCAGTGGCTACAAATCCTACTAATCTATACCCTACTGAGGACAGAGTTGATCTGTGCAGCTCACCTGTGTGATGCAGGCCTAGCTTTGTGCTTGACGCAAGGTGGGCACACAATAATTATGCAATAAATAAATGATTCCCCCATGCACCCCAAGGGAGATGCTTCCTTAAAGAACTGGGATAAAACTGATACTGTAAGATATCACCATTAGAATACCTAGGAGAGAAGTCACAACCCTTGCTACCTACATTCACATCAATGATAATCAGAGAACAAAGATGAGAAGGAAAAGTGTTACCAAACTAGTCATAATGTCATTGCTACTCTTTCAAAAGAACTGCAAGTGTTTAAGTTACCTCATTTCAGCTTTATTGAGCAGTGTCTCCCATCTACTGTCCAAAATACTCAGCTGCTTCAAAATCTTCACTTTGTCTGCAGGTTCTGCTGTTGTAGCGATTTTTTCTCCTTCTCGTTTGATTACTTCCACAGTAGATTTGCGGTCATCCAGCAATCTTTGCAGAAGCTTGAGGGAAAAAAATTAAATATTTTTAACACAACAGAAAAATTAAATAAATACAATGTAGAACATGCTTTAAGTACTTTTGGTATGTGACAGAAACACCTATATGATGCACACATGAAAGGATCTGAGAAGTGGAATTTTAAACTCATTTGGTTTAATAAGTTACCAATACTGTGTCAGATACTCATGGTAAGGCTTTTCAGAATACACAAAACTAATATGGACAAGGCCACCAAACTCTTCACAATAATTTTTAAGATAACTCAGTAAAGGGGAAAGTACTGCTTGGAATAACCTCCACCGAATCATGGGAAAAACAGAAACTTCCCCTCACTTTAATGAAGAAAGAATGACTCAAACATTCAACAATTATTTGCTCTATACAAATAAGATTACTATGATTCATTACTATTTTCAAAACCCTTTCCTACAATCTGTGACTGACAAGGAAGTTAAGATTCAGAGCAAACTGGTAAGTTAGCAAGGCTAAAAGGAGCAGCGCTCGGCTCCTTTCTAGCTAGAACGAGATCCTAAACTAGCCCATGAGGAAGAAAATGAAAAAGAAGTCTTAGCTATCATTACAAAAGAAGACAGTATGGAAGCCAACTAAGCGGCTAAGTAAGACTAACATTCCAGGATTTAGCCGTAAGAGCAAAATTCATTTAATTCTAACTAAACACTATGAGATTCCTGGAACGAAAAGGCTGATACAGGGAGCCAGCACTCAGGATTGGGGTCAGGATGAGGTTCAGACCTCATCACAGTCGACTGCTCCTGAACAACTGCTATGCAGGCACTGCGTTAACAGCAACCAGGAAAGCACAGGTGTACAACACACTGGCGGCTTCACTGCCTCCTTAATCTGATCCTCACTGGTAGTTAAGGACTAAAGACTCAACAGCTACTCAGAAGTAAAACGTTAGAAGAGTATTCTGAGATCATGATCTCCAAGGTGACAGCTAAGAAGAATACAGGTTTAAAAAGAAGGTGCAGTATCACAACTCTGCTGCCACAAGTTGAGTTATTTTATAACCAACGTAGAACAGATGCTTTAGCCAACAAGGAAAACTAATTAAGCAAATTACCTCAGATAAACTTTAGTACCAAAGCTTCTGGAAATTAAGAATGCAAACTCAACAAGTGGATCATGTTTGCTAAGCATCATTAATTAAGTCTGGGAGAATAAACTGAATTGTGAATGGTAGCAGTTGTATATTCAAAAAAATGACACAAATGAAATGTGTTTCCAGTTGTTTCCTTAATGCTTACTTCTAATTGTATTTCTAACAGGCTGATGTTTTAAGATAAATTTTAGAGAAATAGTATGAAATGTATGAAAGTGAGGAATAGGCTTTAAATTTTAAAAATGAGGCCAAATATGTTAGTTTTAAAAATATTTTTAACTGACAAAAAACAATTCTATATATTTTTGGAGAACTATGTGAATGTATATGTTGTAAAATGATTAAATCAAGCTACTTAAAATACCTAGCACCATGGGCCAGGGCTTTAGCTCAGTGGTTCCCCCTCGCAAGCACAAGGTCCCAAGTTCGATCCTTGGTACCAAAAAAAAAAAAACCTAGGACCTCCTCTGCTTTTTTTTTTTTTTTTTGTATTGAGAACATCCAAAATTTATAGCAATGTAATACACTATATTAACTTTATTAAGTGAACTAATACAGGAATAGAGAAAGGTAAGTTTCTAATTGTAAAGAAATTAGATTTCACTAAGATTAATTAAAGTAGTATATTCCTTTCCTTTTAAAGTCCTCAAGGAGAACCTTACCAATGTGCTGTGTGCTAAACCCCTTCCTACATATCATTACAAGTCATAGCTGACAGGCTGCCCCTGAAAATGTCATCCAATGTGTCATACTTGACCACTATCACTAGGCACCCAAAACTGTATATAATGGTACAGATAGCTGTCTCTATACTGATTGTGCCTTCTCAATTTAGACATCTTTAGCATTGTCAAAAGACACAATTCCTAAACATATATGAAGTATTTGCCTCTTTATTAACAGAATGAACTAGGAGAAACTGTTAATACTTAATCCATAAAAAGGCAGTTTCATACAGATAGCCTCAATGTAAGGGAATATTTCTGTCCAAATGTCCAAGTGAATACCTTATCTAAAACCATACTTAAGATTCCCTCTTTTAGCAATTCCTCCCTACCCATCCTTGCTCTGACTTCAGACTTCTATTGCTTGTTCCGGCTTTATTTATGTTTAATTTGCCAATTTACATATTCACCTAGTTTATTCTCTCTCTCATCCTACCCTTCTCATTAAACTTTAAACTCAATGAGGAACTTTTATTATTTTTGTTCAGTTATATAATCCCCTTCATCTAGAATAATGCCTACGCTCCAGAAGATATTCAGTAATGACTAACAAAATAATCTGCAGCAGCAAACCAGGTAACCAGGATGGCCTACTGATATAAATAAAGCAGTAAAATTTTTACTCTCATTTTTAAGAGTCAATATGAAACATAACAGAACAGCATCACTAACTTACCTTTTGTTCTTGTATCTGGGCCTTCACCACTTTGAACTCAGCTGATGGAGGCTTCTGATTGGCCACAAGCTCTTCAGTGTCCACCATCCAGCTGAGCAGGGAATCCAAGGCATCCTGGAACCTCCCACAGTGCAGCAGGGCCTCCTGTAGCTGGGCTGCTCGCTGAGCCACCTGAGAAGTTCCAGGCACCTCAATTTATTTACTTATAATGAACTCTCCCGCTGAATACCACTTTTCTCATTTTTTCATTTCATCACAAATTTTCTTTTGCTTTTCACTTAAAATCTACCCAAAGCATTGATGGAAGGATAAGACTGAAAAGGAATCAAACCTTAGCAAAGTTAAGTCATAAAGATAAGTTTCCATCCTACACTGAGAGTTTGGAAATACCCAATGTATTTGTGGTTATCAAAAATTAATTCAAATATTTTAACATTACTGAAAAACTGTGCTTTAGTCATTTTGTCATTATTGGGATTTGTTTTTTATTTCCTATTGATGAATATAAAGGATAATGAAAAAGGACTGGAATTAAAAGAAATTATTATAGCAAAGAGAGTCAAAATTATATTTTGGTATGCAAAACAACTATAAAGCACTCAGTTAAATTCTGCTAACACCAGGTCCTGAGTCCCTTTTCAACAAACGAGGGCCATTGTCTTCTTCAGTCTTTCTAGTCTTTGTATAGGACACAGAGATATCATGTTGCTGTTTTCACAGATCTTCTCTCCTTTTGGACTGAAAAACATTGGCAAGATACTGTAAGCACTATGGAATAAACTTACACCTGACACTGTTTTCCAATTTGTGTTTAAGGAACACTACAACATGAATCAATAAGAAAACTACCTCCTTATTGAGACCTTAAAATATGACTAGGTTTAAGATCTGACAACTGTTCAAGATTTCAATGCAGGGAAAGCAAGAACAACCACTACCACTAAATGAACACTGCTATCCCATAGCAATTATCTGATCATTTATGTCATATGCCATTGTGCATCAGCATTATCTCCCTAAGATAACAGAACACTATTTCTAGTGTTTTCCCTCATGAAAGTTTAGGCAAAACAGTATTTGAAACTGATAGCGTATAATGAGGGTAGAAAACCCTTGGTCTTGCACTAACAGAGAGACACCGCTTCTTTCACTTGCACAGTGTGAAATTAGTTACCAACATCTGAGAATGGGAAGGCTTCACATAGAAGGTGAGATTTCCAGGTTATTTTGAAAGTAGAATATGTGGCAACAGCGCACCTGCACCCCTCCGTGTCAGTGGTTTGATGGAGCTATGAGGCTTCCACCTTTAGAGGCACCATCCTCTCTCCAATGGGGCCAGTGGTCAAAGCTGCCCGCGGTCACGTCTGCTGTGTCTGTAGTTATGTCTCCAACAAAACTGACACAGTGGCAAGGAGAGAGCCAGCTTTTCCTAGCTCCCTTCATTCATTTATGATCTCTAACTAGCATCTTGTGGGCACATGTGTTTGGGCCATCCAATTTGTAGCAACAGAAAAAGTAGACAGGGCTGGGGATTTAGCTCAGTGGTTCCACCACCTGTTTCGCAAGCACAAGGTCTCAAGTTCAATCCCCGGTACCAAAAACAAAGTAGACATATGTAGGAAGTTTGGCTACTCTCAATCTGATGAAAGGTCACAATAAATGCTAGTGAATAATAATTAACAAAACTGATGGGGGGGATGAAAAATTACCTTCTTATTGAGAGTTTTCCACCGTGCACTGACATCTTCCAGGTCATGCTCCAAAGCCTGAGTGCTGGTGTTTTTAGCAGCACTGTGAATAAGCCCTTGACCCAACCAATTGACATCTTGCTGTTTAACCTGCAAAGGTTCAATCTCTTCCTTTTGAAAAACCTGCAGTTGGAACAGCCACAATTGTAATAATTATACTATCTAACAACAACCAAATACACAGTGAGTGTTTAGTCATCAGGTAGTAAAAGTTTTGAGTTATTACAGAAGTAAAGATAATTGTTTCCTATTCATAGGTCCTTGGTACCCTTTGAATAATAGTGTGAAAGTAAATTAAATAATAAGCTTTAAGATCTAAATAATTCAAGAATATCAAGAATGAGATTATACATTAATCAGATTACCTATAGAACAATAAAATAGTGCTATGCATCCTTTACTGCTTCATTATCATAGCTCAAGAAATGTCCTATTGTCCCAACTTAACTCTAGCAAAAGATGTGCAGAATAGGCTAAGGAGTAGAATGATAAGATAGGCTCAAGATGAGTCTCACTGGGAGGAATTCTCAGAGCTTCTCAGGACACTGCTAGCTGGCAATTGTAGCTTGAGACTCAAATTGGACATGGAGAGTCACTGGCAAGAAAATGAAGTGGGCCAAGACGTCAAACACATGGCCTGCCAGAGGACAGACAGAAAAGGAAAAAGACACAGGCGTGTGCTGAGACAGCAAGGATCCTACACATCCAGCCCCTCTGCTGCTTATAAAAATGGCAGTAGGCTTGCAAGAGGCACAGCAGCCTCATCCCAAGGAGAGGATCACACACATCAGCAGCACAGCAGCTCTGCCTCCTCTCTGTTCACCACGACCCCTGCAAGCACTGCCAGCAGCTTCTCAGTGTTCTCTCCCTTACTCTCCACCCCCATGCAACTTACGGTCCCCCAGATGCTGAGTCTAGCCAAGGAGTCAAGGTGTTAAACTGCAGGTTCCACAAAAGTAGAAGTTGCCGACTGTTTCCTTACAGCAGTTCTATGCCTTGGACCCACCACAGTGACTCGGCATGTGATATATACTCAATAATTACCTGCCGAATGAATACTAGTGTAGGAAAGTTGCAGATCCACCTCAGATGAAGGGCATCAATCCCTTAAGAGAAACACTGGAAGCGGACACATAAATTCTTTCATAGGTAGGGCCGAGAGATCAGACATACACTATGCTAAAACAGAGTTTGGGATTCTGAATAACCGTACTAAAGCCTATTACATAAGTAATCAATGAATGGATAAAAAAAATACATGGAAACATAATAAAGGCAAATATTAAAATAGCACTTCAAAAGAAAATTAAAAGCACAGCATGAAAACTAATTTTGAAAGCTGTAGAAGCTGCAGAAGACAAGCTCTCCAGATCCTGGACCCATGGCTGGCACAAAGGACACTCCTGTGTTACTGTGTGAATGAGTTTTAGGGAGGAACAAACAAGTTAGTGACCATTTCCTCCCCAGTCCCATCCAAGCCATAAGCCCAACAATACTAATTATAAAAATTAATTGCACATAAACATAAGTTCCCCTAAATCACTAAAGAAAGAACTTAAATTTTCATATATTTTCAAAATAATTTGCCAAGTAACTCAACAGAAAGTTGAAACAAGTTGATGAAGACAGAACTTGTCAGTTCAACTCTGTTCCTTTTACATACCACTTTCTAAGCTACTACTTCTAGGAACTAATAGCTTTGAATATGCTTAATTATTTAAAAAAAAGTGTGGGGGAATCTTTAAAAAAATTGCCATATTGTTAGTTGCAGGAACTTGTATGGCATATAATTATTCAGGGAAAAGTTTTATTCTCATTCTCTGACAATTTTCAGGGCCGGGGAAAAAAACAAACCAATACAAAGTTCGAGTAAATTGCCTTAACCTCTGATCACAGCTTTGAAACAATTTTAAGAGTGTATATCAAAGCAGGTCTAGGTGACTCTGGAAATTTTTCAAAGTGCTACAAAAATATACTAAGGATTAAAGTAGAAAAGACATTATCTACAAATAAACTGTAAAATCCCTCACAAGGAAAAGGAAGAATTGTGCTAGGCCTTTAAATCAGCAGGCCATCTGCTGTATGCCAAAGGAAAGGGCACAGTTGACTAGAGCAATTATTTCACAGACTGAGAGCTCCTCTGATAGCGCCTAAACTCCTATCAGTGGTAACAAGATACCTATGAAGGGACTCTCCCCACCAACTAACACAAAGAAGCAAGCTAGCACACAAACACAGAGAAACTTTAAATAAGACTCTCCCCACAAACTAACACAAAGAAGCAAGCTAGTACACAAACACAGAGAAGCTTTAAATAAAATAGCCCTGGAGGCAAAGTTTACCAGAAGAGCTTAGTAAAAGTACCAAAATAGCTCTACTTCAATCTGAGTGGGATGAAAAAAATTACAGGCTTCAGGAACAACCTCTTGCTTATTACTAGGCTGCACCCTTTACTTTCTTACCTCATCCTAAATCATAAAAAGTTAGGAACCATGTACTATTAAACAACAACACAAAAGGAGCCATAATGCCTGCACAAACAGCACAGTAACTTTAATTTTTTTTTCTACTCTCACATGCAGAGGTTCTGAGAGAACATTTAGATCACTTTTTAAAAGGCCTTAAAACCACAACAATACTGTGCTTGTACCTTCGTGACTAAGCCTGTTGCAGCTTAATAAACCAAATATAACTGCCCTTAAATGGCAGTGTCTTCAGCCACAATTTGTGCAAAAGCCCAACAATAAACTGAATTCACAGTTGGAGGCATTCTGAATGAAGCGGACAGCCACCGTGTGCACCATCAACAGCAGAACCCTCGACAGCTAGGAATAATCATCTTTCCCCCAAACCAGTCTCTAATTAATCTGTAGTAATGATTAATTCATCATTAGCTGGCATCTTGCAGGGTGCCTGTCAATCTCCCCATTATGGACTTGATCATAACTAGAAACACTGGTGACCAGTCTGAAAGAACCACAAGCTCTTGGTATTGTAGCTTCACATTTCCATAAATTACCTGGCCCAACTGGAAGCCATTGCAGACTGTGTCCAACACCCCCGCTTGGCCCTCTGTTTTTCTGGAGGCTGCTTTCTTTCTTACTGGTATGAATTTCAGGGAACACTTAGTATGAGTCCTCTCAATGTCCTGGGCAAAAAGGGAAGCTGCTTCTTCCCCTGTAGAGGCTATGCTGGATTCTTCTGAAGTGTATTGTGTCAGCAATGTCACATTTTCTACCAAACCTGTGCTACTACAATCTACCTCCCTGTCTCCCAGGTATGCTTGAGACAGCTCTGAATCTCGAGGGAGATCCTTCCTGAGTTCCACACCTTGTAAGTCTCCTGATTGGTAAGTTTGTTCCTCTTGTCCACAGTTAGAAAGATGTTCGTTTTCTCCATCTCTTGGCATAACTAATGGATCACACTGAGAACTGTCTCTCAAATGATTCTGCAGGCAACACTTGTCATCCTGGATTGCCTTTCGACCATTTACACATTTTGTTTTCTCCAGTGGAGAAACATTATGTAAAATCATTTTGAAGTTATCCTCAGGGTGGGCACTCCTGCATGAAAGCAGGGGGATTTTCTGTTCACTAATGGAATTAATAGGAAAAAAAGATCTACACTGCTCTGTTATATGAATATCCTCAGCAGAAGACAGGCCTCTAATTTGTGACTGGTCTCCATTTAAAATGCCCTGTTTTTCTCTCTCTGAAGGAGGGCTACATAAACCAGAGTCATCCTCCTCTGATGTAAGAGAATTAGTACCCTGTCTGCACTTGCCGGCCTCGGTAACAGCGTCTGACATATCAATAGGTTCAACAAAAGAGCTTTCACTTCTGTTTGCAAAATCCATAAAATTGGCTGGGACAAACATTCGCCATGATCGTCTATGCTCTTTCTTTTCTGCATGAGATTTGGCTTTGGATAATCCTGTAGTTCGAATAATATCACTATTTAGTTTGAGTGCATCAAAGATCATCTTTTCATCTAGTTTGTTAGCTTCACGGCCTCTCAGCTCAAACACACTAGAAGAAGTAATGGCACCATTAGAGCATAAAGAACTAACATCCAGTGTTCGGTGACTGTAGGGTAAAGTCCGATCTGTAAAATGCCTGGAGGACAGGCTACCTTTTGAGTCAGAGTCTATCTGTTCATTTAGTCTGACTGTATCATAGATTGACCTTTGTGGGACATAGCAGTCTTCAATATTCAGGTCCTCTTCTTCCTCACCTTTCCCTACACATGGAGGATTCTGACGTAAACAGTCCGGTCTGCTGAGTGGCTTCCCCATTTTGTAGACAGTCAAAACAAATACCGCAGCTCTCGACACAGAAAGTAAGAAATAAGGTAAAGCATCTCTCAAAAACGACTACTTCTAAACAGCACTATGATGTGTCTTCAGCACAAAGACACATGCTCAAATAATACAGGTTGTCATATACAGTTCGAGGTGCTTAGGTCATCAGTAGTGCATCCATATAAATGCGACTATCTTTTTACCTGGTTGACTTTAGAGTGATTTTGAAAAGTAAAGTGCATCAAGGACAGAGAACAGAAATCTTCCCCCACCTCTCCTACCTGCTCAAGTTCCCCTTCACACAATCCAAAACACACAAAAAAAACAAACACACACTTAACAGTGGCTCAAACGCTCAGAACATTCCACTGTCAGTCCATTTCCCTTTTCAGTCTAATTTTGCATCTGAGGTTTCCAGATTAAAACTTCCAAATGAGCAAGCATTTTAACAGGCTGAATGTTAATTTGAACAGAGTTCTGTTTAACTCTAAGCCACTTAAATATGCCTTTTAAAACTCCATCTCCGTCATAAACCATGCATCAGGAATTTAAGAGACAAAGTGGCCATGTATTGTTTGTATCGAGGCATAGAACAAATCTTTATAAGAAAAATGTCTAGTATTGTAAAAAAAATATATTTTTCTTTTACTTTTTTGGGAAGGTAGCTATAAGTAATCTTGATTCAAAAGGAAGTTTTTCTTCCTATATTAAGCTTCTTTGAGGCAGAACTACCCAAGGAAAAAATCAGATGGCCAGGGTGACTTCAATTCAGCAGGTTTAAAGTAAACAATTCAAAAGCATGTAGTACTATTGTAACTTCCCT